CTTCCAAACCCAATTTTGAGGTGTCCCCTCCTCCAGGAAGCCCTCCCTGACCACACCTTCCCCTCCCACACACAGGTGCCTCCTCTGCCCACACGTGGGTCCTTTCTGCCCCAGCAGTGCCTCTCACCAGGAGTGAGAGGTCACCCCCTCCTCAAGGCTGTCAGGCCAGGGCTTAGGAACACACAAGGGACCCTAGGGAAGCCAGGCTCCCACGGGTCCCCTCAGGAGGACATAAGCCATGCAGTCATTGATGAGGAGGGGGCCTCAGCTGTGCTGGGGTGGGAACCCTTTGTCTGAGAGCTTATTAGAGACAAACCATTACCCGGGTGGCCAGACGCTGACCCAGCAAGGCTGGCTGCTCCCAGGCCCTCTGCAGCCCATCCGTCCCCCCATCTCCCGCCTGGGGCCCCACGGATGGGCGCCTGGTGTCCACGCAACCGTGCTGTGGGGGCCCAGGAAGGCCCAGGGCAGCAGGATCCCTCAGGGCACCAGGCCCAGGGGCCCAGGTGAGATGCCCCCTCCCCAGCAGGCACAGCGGGGTCCCTGGGACCCGCCCCATCCCGGGCTTGGGGCCGGGCCTGGGCTCAAGATGTGGATGAGCCTGTCCTCACAGGGTGGTTAGACTGACAGCATTTTCAAAGTGGGAAAGTTTCACACACACCCCTTGGGAAAGGGTGCCTGGCTCACATCCCAGGGCCCGTGCCGGGGGTCGGCCACAGTCAGCTGCTGGAGCCACCTCCACCCCTGGCCTCTGTGGCTCATAGATAATGTGGTTTCTCAGGGGTTGTCAGCTTAGAGATACTATGGCCACAGGCCCCTACCCATGAGGCCCACCCAGGGGGTCCAGCATGCCTGCTGCCCCCCCTTCAGTTCCCGGGGTGCCTGGCTGTGGGTGAGGAGGCTCTGCTCACCCCAGGAAACAGCACTGGGGCAGTGAGCCGGGCTTCGGGAAGGCAGATCTCATTTCAGCCCTGAGGCGCCTGTGGCCTTGGCATGTCCGGGCGGCAGTGCTGAGGGCCAGGGGCCTGCTCCGCCTTCAAGGCTGATTCGAACGGAGCCCACGGAATGGGGGCCAAGGGCCTCAGAGAGGACACTTTGCCTCCATTGTCCCCAGAGCCCCCGACAGAGAGACAGAGTGAGGTCCTGGGGGGAGGGGAGTGGGCAGGGCAGAGGGTCCCTGCCCACAGAGGGCGCTCATATGTCTTCAAGCCCCTCTGCGTTGGGGCCCGTGAAGGAGGCCATGCTGGGGGCGCAGAGCCCACTGGGGCCATGTTCCCTGTCGGCCCCCAGGCTCCGTGGTGGCCCCTCCAGCCAGCTCCCCACCTCCTCCCCGCCTCTCTGGACACAGGGACCCGGCTGCTGCCGCAGTGGCCAGAAGGGCCCATGAAGGAACCCACTGGACACTCTGCCAGGCTTTGGGGGCCCCAGACCCACTTCCAGAAACAGCCTGAGAACGTCGCCCCTAGAGGGCAGAGAGCACTTTTATGCCCCTGGGAAGGCCTCCTATGCAGAAGAGCACACCTGGCCCCTCGGCCGATCCGAAGAGGCCAGTCATTCCTCCACCCTACCCTGCGTCACTCCCACTCTGTCCCGAGCTCCCAGCAGGGGGCTGGGGGCTGGAGAAAAGGGAGCGTGGCCCCACCCTGAGGACCGGGCCGGACAGGCCGTCAGCGAGCTGGTCCTCGGGGGGCCTGGGTCCGAGGGAAGGCCGGACGCGGAGGGGCCGCCCAGCCTGTGGCGGGTGAGTCTGCAGCAGGCCTGCCCCTGACTGAGCATTTCTCCACAGGCACGCCAGCCCCACCGGCCTGCTGCTGACCGCGGTGGTGGCCCTCATCTACACGGTCGCCATCCTGTACGAGGAGTGAGTAGGCCGGGGCCAGGGCTGCTGTCTGCTGTGTGACCCCCGGCTGGCCCTGCCTCTCCCCTCAGGGCCTTTCCTGGGCCCCAGGCAGCTGGGCCGTGCGCAGGGTGGCACTTGGGAAGCTTAGGGCAGACGCAGGACAGCCTGTGGGCGGGCAGGCAGTGTTGGACCTCCTGGTCCCACACGGACCCGCTCACTCCGTCCACCCCGGATCGGGGAAGGGAGGCCTGGGTGGCAGTGTCAGCCTCGAGCGCAGCTGACCAGGGCCTCTCTCCTGCGCCCACAGGCCCTTCACCGCTGAGGTCTACCGGCAGAGAGCCTCCCAGGCCTGCAGGAGAAGCTGACTGGGCCGTGGCCCCTCCAGTGAGGGTCTGCCGCCTCCGGCCTGCCCTGCGCCACGCCCAGGGAAGGGAGGACGGTGCCCGGTGCAGCTGCTCCAGGGCCTTGGAAACGCGGCCTTGGGGGCCCTGGACAGAGCCCCCTGCCCCTGCCGCCCACCACCTCCTAACTTACCAATAAAGGCGCCTGACCCCAGCCCCCGTCAGTCTGTCTGTCCAGGTTGGGAGGAGCAGGCTGGGGCTCCGAGAGGGGGCTCCTGAGCCAGGAGGGGGCACTGCCATCCACACCTGGGGAAACCTGCCCAGGCCTTAGCCACCTGTGCCACCTGCCTCACTCCACTTTTGCCCTTCAGTGAGCCGGCCCAGCCTCAGGGTGGAGGTGTCACCATGGTGCCCAGCCCTGTGAGCTGCTGTCCAGGGAAAATGACTAAAGGGTGAAAAATACTATGCAGAAAATATAAGTGACAAGAAATTGTGGACGGGTCCTGTGTAGGCCGCCAGGGAGGCACACTAGACTTCAGCCGTGGTGGTCAGGGGAGGCCTCCCTGAGGAGGTGACAGCTGAACTGAGACCCACATGTCCGGAGGGAGCAAACTGGAGGAAGAGCCTTCGGGCACAAGAAAGGTGACTACAGAGGCCCTGAGGTGGGGTGAGCTCAATGTAGGAGCCCCATGCCACTGGATCCAGCCCAGGGGAGCTCGCCTGGGAGACAGGTCGCCCTTGGTGAGTGGTCTGAGGGTTTTCATGCCCCAGAAGCCGGCACGTGGCAGACCCCGGAGGCACTGCGGGAGGAGAAGGGGCCAACTTGCCTCCAATGCTTGAGCCTGGGTAGGGGTGGGCCCTCTGCACTGGCTGCCTCCTGATTCCCGTGCAGGCTGGTCACCCCTTTTGGGAGCAGAGGACCTGGGGCGCAGAGAGCCTCGGTGACCTGTCCCAGGGGGCACGTGAGTGAGTGACAGCTCTGTTCCAAGCCCACGCCTCCCTCTTTCCCTCTGAGGTGAGAGGATTCAGAGGAAAGAGACTGGGCTGGCGCCAGGCGCCCCCCCAACCCCAGCCCGGCTGACAATGCGTCTCTGGTTACTGACATTTCTCTCCTGATCCCTCCTGGACCACTAGAGGCCTGCTGTGCCTGACCACATGGCCGTGGGGGCCGGGCCGGCCCCTTCTCCTGGCCCCAGCCTCACCTCGCAGCCCCCAGCCCTCTAAGGACACAGGATGGGTGGGCCTTTCCTCCCTTCGGGATGGGAGACAGGTGGGCCCAGAGCCTCAGCGCCCTCCCCTGTGACGTGGCCGCCAGCGGCGCACTGGTGCTGGAGCAGCGCCGGCCGGGCCACCTCCTCACCACAGAGCTCCTCAAGCCTGCCCCTTTGGTTTCTGGAGTCCAGAGTGGGCTCCAGGGGCCATGGGAGGCATGGAGGCTGATCTGATGCAATGCCTCGTGCTCACTTACCTCCAGAAACAGGACGCTCACCCCTCTGCAGGCACGTCTGCACACAGCCGTTGAGGACGCGCTGGCTCCCACGGTGTGAGCCAAGCCATTGTCAGGGTAGGACCGAGCACCTCCAGGCATTCTGACCCATGGGTCACGCGTGGGAGGCGGGGCCTGGGGTGGGGCCAGAGCCCGGGCCCAGCTGGCTCTGCCCGAGGGGCTCCTGTGACCCAGCAGCTCACTGCTGAGGAGGAAACTGCCGGATACCTATGACGTCGGCATGATGAAGGAGCCGGTCAGAGGGAAGCCGGCTCCGCTCAGCCCTGCGCTCTTCAGCCAGCGGCTGCGGGCCAGGGTGACCAGGACTCCCTGTGCAAGGAGCGGCTGGGGTGAGCGCGGGCCGGCACGTAGCGCTTATTGGAAGTGTCCACATTCCCCTTGACTGGGCCTGCCCACACTCCTCAAATGGCTTTCGAGAAACTTCTGAACCACTCTTTGCCAACAGACCAGCCTGTGGTGGATGGACATTTCCTGCCTCGGGGGTCACTGTCCAACCCCCAACTCACCCTCAACATTTGGTCAAATGTTTTAAGAACTTTCCATTCCACTCTGAGTTGGAAAATCACACTGCAGGTAAACGGTCCTCATAGGCAGGTGCGGCCTCATTAGCGCCATTTGTGGCCTTACATCCAAACAACAGGAAATCACGGCCAACACCATGAACGTGGACAACCAAAAACCAGTGCAGTTTGTGGGGGACACAGGCAAGAGTGCCAGGGAGGGTGCACATGTCCCCCTCCCCAGCGGGGGGCCGTGGGCGGTCCTGACCTTCCTCCACCCAGACCTGAGGCCTCAAGGATCACTTGCTGTTCTTACTACCAGGTCCCGCCCCCTAAACTGCAAGTTCTCAGCCACAGTCACCACAGACCGCTCTCTCTGAAGCCCAGAGGAGGCTAGGGACGGCTGTGCTTCAAGACCAGCTCCCCCAGCTATAAAATGGGACTCCAAAGGCACAAAATGCAGCAGGGGAGGGAGGGGACATTCGCCTAGGCCTGACTGAGGAAGGGCAAGCCTCTGGTCCCTCCAGTCTAGGTGGGCAGCCTCTGGCTGCAAATCCCCTGCCAGGCTCCAGTGCAGCTCTGGTTGGGAGAAAGCAGCTAAGACCTGCAGTAGACGCAGGGTTAGGACACTCCAGCTACGGAGCTACAGCCCGAGCCAGGCACCCACAGCCTCCCTACTCCACCGGCGGGGCCTCTGCTGCGCTCTGGTGGCAGGCGTGGGTGGCACCCACCTTGCGCTGGCACAGCTGCGGGGAGCAAAACCAGTAGGCTATGCGAAGGGGCCGGTTCCCAGGGTGGGTGAGGTGTGAAGAGCCCCCAGCGCAGTGCCTGGCACCTGGCAAGCACTTGCTGCCATTCTGTGGCCAGCACGAGCCCAGTGTATTCTCTGGGGAAACTGCAGCCCAGAGAGTGTGCGCGCGCGTGTGCGTTGCAGGGATAGTGGGGGCTTCTTGCCCGAAGTCAGAGGCACAGGTGGGACTGCGACCCTGACCCCCTTGCTGCCGCTGAGCTCCGCGCAGGGGAGGGCAGCCTCGGGGCGCCC